GGTGGGGGAACAGGCCCCCAGCGGCTGCCGTGCCTGGTCCTAGGGCAGTGCCCCGGGATCCTCACCTCTCTCCGCAGCCAGCGCCCCTGGAAGGGAAGAGAAAAACCTGTCAGTGGGGGGGCAGGGCCCAGGGCTCACGGCCCAGCTCTGCCCCGCGCTGCCAGAGGGTCCCTGGGGAGCAAGGCCCCGGAACCAGTTTCTCTCAGGTGTTTCCATCCCCAGCCACGCAGCCCCTGGGATTTCACATGCACCAGAACAGGGGAGGTGCCCAACTCCTATGGGCACCAGTGGGAGTTAGGGGCCCAGCTTCTCTGGGGCTTCTGCAACTCCCGCCAGGCACCAGTGTGACTCACTGGGCACCTGCCTAGCTCTGAGCATCTGGCCCAAGGGGTTCAGACACCGGGCCCAGGCGCGCGGCTGGTGTCAGCCAGGGAGGCTCCACGAATGTCCAGAGAGCTGGGACTCGGGCCCTGAGTCTGTGACAACGTCTCCCACGGCAACCAGCTCCCAGCATCCCCAGAAACCTCCCCCTGCCCCTCGGCCCGCGCAGGCTGGGCTGGGGGACCCTTTGCTTGGCAGCAGGAGAGGGCGGCCGCAGGGACTGGGGCAAAGGGGGAGGCACCTTCACCGCCTGCCCCTGTTCTGCACTCCCTGGGCCTGTTCTCTGCCATTCGCATCCTGCTGGGATCCTGCCGTTCTGCTCAGAGTAGCTCCCTGCCCCTCTAGGGCTCAGGAACCCGCCAGGCCCCCAGGAGCAGACCCTGGGGTCTCAGCTGGGCCTTTCCACCCCCCTCTCCACACCCCCAGACAGTGAGAGAGGAGCCCCCAGCAGCGCCGCCCCGTACCCAGGAATCCCGTCACGGCCCCCTGGAGACTGTTCTCTCTTGGGAAGTCCCGGATTCTCCGCTCCAGCTCCGGGCACTTGGGCGCTGGATGTGGCAACATCGCTGCCTCGCCTCTGCAGAGACACGAGAGTGTTATTGGTCTCCCTCTTCGCCCTCCCCCCCGCAAGCCAGACAGGGGAGCGGGTGGGGGCTGGGCCACAGGCAGATGCTGCTGCCCAGGGAGTTTTTCCTGCCAGCACAGCCTGGGGGCCTCTCTCCAGCCAGAGGGAAAACAGCCCAGGCAGCACCAGGCCCAGCTCCCGCACACCCAGCCTGGCCCATGTGCCCCCTAGAACCTGGCTGGGCGGCTCCCAGGGCTGAGAGAGGGGCCCGTTCTCCAGGCCCAGCCGCTCCTCAGCTTCTCCGCTCAGCCCCCAGGGGCCGGGTCACTCGCCATGGGGTGAAGGCTGTGGGATGGGGACACTCCCCCCAAGGTCTGGCCTGGGACACTCGGCTCTTTCCCCAGAGACCCCCTCAAGGGCCAGGTTCCCCATCCCAGAGCTGTGGGGCAGTCCCCTCCCAGGGTGCCTCACACCCCCACAGCGGCAGTGGCCCCAGGGCAGTGGGTACAGAGGAGGCAGGGTTCAGAGGGTGAGGCAGTCCCATGGTCAGGGGCTGGGGCTGGAGTCACTGCCCGGGCTCTGAGCCTGCTCCCAGCATGACGGGGGGTGGGGGCAGACATACCTGCTCACGGCGCTTCTCACACCC